CAACAATGGCGGAAGACGATGAGGAAATGGGACATAGAGGTTTAGCTACAGCTAAACACAAACAGGGAGAAGAAACTGCGTTCCTTCAATTCATTGAAATGGAAAATTTTAAGTCCTACCGTGGCCACATTGTTGTGGGTCCCTTAAAGCAATTTAATGCTGTCATTGGACCCAATGGCTCTGGCAAATCTAATTTCATGGACGCAATCAGTTTTGTAATGGGCGAGAAAACATCGAGTTTGCGTGTAAAGCGTTTGAACGATTTGATACACGGTTCATCCATTGGTAAGCCAGTGGCACGCAGCTGCTACGTGACGGCCAAATTTATTTTGGATGGAGAGAAGCATATGGATTTTCAACGTGCCGTAATAAGCGGATCCTCGGAGTACCGAATAAATGGCGAGGTATGCGGTACAAAAATGTTTTAAAACCAAAAACTAACCTTTGAATCCCTAGAGCGTCTCAAGCAATACTTACCTTAATAAGCTAGAAAAACTGGGCATCAATGTGAAAGCAAAGAACTTCTTAGTGTTCCAGGGCGCCGTGGAAAACATTGCCATGAAAACGCCCAAGGAGCGAACGGCTCTTTTCGAAGAAATTAGCGGGTAAGTCGCAAAGCATATCAACTACGCTTGAAATTGTACATTTTATACATATTTTTAGATCGGGTCTGTTAAAGGATGATTACAATCGACTTAAGCAGGAAATGATTGTCGCTGAAGAGGAGACCCAGTTTACGTACCAGAAGAAAAAGGGGATTGCCGCCGAACGTAAGGAAGCCAAGCATGAGAAAATGGAAGCCGAACGCTATACACGACTACAAGATGAATATGTAGGATTAGATTTTCTTATTTTCTGAACAGTTATTAATAGCATTTTCTTTGTTTGTAAATTGCAGAACGAAAAGCAAGTGGAATATCAATTGTTTCGCCTATTTCACGTTGAAAAGGATATACAGAAATATGTTGCTGACTTGGAAGTGAAACAGCAAGAGCTGAAAGCTGTAGAGCAACGCAAAGAAGCTGCTGACGAGGTGCTCCGCGAAAAGAAAAAGGAAGCTGGCAAACTAACACGCGACTTAGCTAAAATTGATCAAGAGATACGTGAGTTTGAGACACAGCTCAATAAACGACGTCCATTGTACATCAAGGCAAAGGAAAAGGTGGCACATTGCAAGAAGAAATTGATATCGCTGCAAAAAACGCTGGAAACAGCTAGAGAGGCGGACAATGCACATCAGCAAGATATACAAAAGCTGGAAAAGCAATTGAGTGACGTTGAGGCATTGAAGAAGCGTTTTGAGGATGAGATTGAAAACGAGTCACAGAGACGTGGCAAAAGCGTCAACATGGAGGAGGGACTCGTACAAGAATATGATCGTTTGAAACAGGAGGCCGAAGCAACTGCTACACAATATCGTTCTGAGCTGGATTCTATTAATCGTGAGCAAAAATCGGAACAGGATATGCTTGATGGTGAAACAAATCGCAGAGCTTCCGTGGAGGAATCGTACAAGAAGCTCTCATTGCAGCGCGAAGAAGCAGTTAAACGTAGAGATAAACTGATGGATCATATCAAATCGTCTCAGGCGGCGCTGGAAGAACAGAATCGTATTAAGGATGAACTGCGACGTGATGTGGGAAGCTCAAAAGAAAAAATTGCCGAAAAACAACGTGAGCTTGAAAATGTGCGCGATCAGTTGGGCGATGCCAAGAGCGACAAGCACGAAGATGCCCGCCGTAAAAAGAAACAGGAAGTGGTTGAGCTCTTCAAGAAGCAAGTGCCCGGTGTGTACGACCGCATGATTAACATGTGCCAACCCACACACAAACGTTACAACGTGGCCGTCACTAAGGTATTGGGTAAGTTTATGGAAGCGATAATTGTGGACACAGAGAAAACCGCGCGACATTGCATTCAGGTTAGTTGTATAGCCAAATCAAAGTTTGATTTGTTTGTTAAAGTGCCTTTGCTTTTGCAGATCTTGAAGGAGCAAATGCTTGAGGTGGAGACTTTTCTACCATTAGATTACCTGCAAGTTAAGCCGTTAAAGGAACGTCTCCGGAATATCAGTGAGCCACGTAATGTTCGGCTGGTGTTCGATGTGCTCAAATTCGAGCCACAAGAGATTGAACGCGCTGTTCTGTTTGCCACTGGCAATGCTCTGGTCTGTGAAACGCCAGAGGATGCCATGAAAGTAGCCTACGAAATAGATCGATCTCGTTTTGATGCACTGGCGCTGGACGGCACATTCTATCAAAAGTCCGGTCTCATCTCTGGTGGCAGTCATGATTTGGCGCGTAAGGCGAAGCGATGGGACGAAAAGCACATGGCGCAACTTAAAATGCAGAAGGAACGCCTTAATGAGGAGCTCAAGGAGTTGGTGAAAAAGTCGCGCAAGCAAAGTGAGCTGGCAACAGTTGAATCGCAAATCAAGGGCCTCGAGAATCGTCTGAAATATAGCATGGTTGACTTGGAGTCATCAAAGAAGTCGATTAGCCAATATGATAACCAATTGCAACAGGTGCAAAGCCAGCTGGATGAGTTCGGGGTAAGTGACAGTCGAGTCAAGGCATTTCTAAACACTTCTCCATTCAAGCTTGTTATTCTGCTTACAGCCCAAGATTAGTGAAATCGAGCGTCGAATGCAGGACCGTGAAGAGCACATACAAGAGATCAAAGAGAACATGAATAATGTGGAGGACAGAGTATTTGCCGACTTCTGTCGGCGACTAGGTGTAAAGAACATTCGTCAATACGAGGAGCGTGAGCTGGTAATGCAGCAGGAAAGGGCGCGCAAACGCGCCGAGTTCGAGCAGCAAATCGATGGAATCAACAATCAGCTGGACTTTGAGAAGCAAAAGGACACGCGAAGTGAGTTATTGTCTAATAATATTTCATATTCAATATTGAAAATATTTTTTCATATTTACAGAGAACGTTGAGCGGTGGGAACGCAGCGTACAAGATGAAGAAGATGCATTGGAGGGGCTTAAAGCGGCCGAGGCGCGGTATCTAAAGGAAATGGATGAAGAGAAGGAGAAAATGGAAAAGTTCAAGCAGGAGAAGCAAGCCAAGAAGCAAGCTGTTGATGACATGGAAGAGGACATTTCCAAAGCGCGCAGAGATGTTGCGAACCTGGCTAAGGAAATACACAATATTGGCAGCCAAATGTCGTCAATTGAATCGAAAATAGAGGCCAAGAAAAACGAGAGACAAAACATATTGTTGCAGGCCAAAGTAAGTACGGCCGCAATAACATATTACAACTTGTATTAAATATGCTTTTTAATTCAAAGACTGATTGCATTGCGGTGCCCTTGTTGCGTGGCTCTCTAGATGATGCAGTGCGTCAAAGCGATGTAGACAGCGTGGAGCCATCGACATCAACGATGCACGATAATCTGTAAGTATTTGCCTATATACCGCAGGTTTAAATATTTACATGCGAACCAATTCTAGTATCGAGGTTGACTATCGGTCGCTCCCACGCGAATTATGCAAGCTCAAAGACGACTCCGCCTTCAAGAAAACCAATGAACAGCTGCAGAAAGATCTGCAGAGCAAGCTAGATGTTCTGGAACGGATACAAACACCAAATATGAAAGCGATGCAAAAACTGGATCTGGTTACGGAGAAAGTCCAGTCCACAAACGAAGAGTTCGAGAATGCCAGACGTAAAGCCAAAAAGGCCAAAGCGGCATTCGAGAAAGTAAAGAATGAGCGCTCGTCACGATTCGTGCAATGCTGTCAGCATATATCCGATGCCATCGATGGTATTTACAAGAAATTAGCTCGTAATGAAGCCGCTCAGGCATACATAGGGCCCGATAATCCCGAAGAACCGTATTTGGATGGTATTAATTACAATTGTGTCGCACCTGGCAAACGCTTCCAGCCAATGAGCAATTTGAGTGGTGGAGAAAAGACAATTGCTGCTCTGGCCCTACTCTTCTCTACGCACAGGTAAGTGCGGTCTATAAATACATGGAAAATTGAGAAAGTAATTGCTGATAAATATTGTTTACTCTTAAAGCTATCACCCAGCGCCATTTTTTGTACTTGACGAGATCGATGCCGCTTTAGATAATACGAACATTGGCAAAGTCGCTTCATACATTCGAGATCACACAACAAATTTGCAGACTATTGTCATATCCCTGAAGGAGGAGTTCTATGGTCATGCTGATGCGCTGATCGGCATTACGCCTGCCGAAGGCGATTGTCTCATATCTAACGTCTACATAATTGATCTAACTTGCTACGAGGACAAATGACGTGCAGATTTTAAGTAGAGCTATGCATAAGATATTTATAATCCAGATCATTTCAGACAACTACAATTTTAAGAAGAATAAACCGTTTTATGATTTTGTAGATATTAATCATGGGTTTTTTAGTACTCGAACTTCTCTTGTTAATTCCAGATATTTTAATGTAAACTTCTCCTTTAATCCATAACATTTTCTTCATTAACAGTATAGAAAAGGATTCCCAAGTGCTCATACCTTTGAATTAGAAAAGTCATTTTATTTTGAAAATAATTTCTTCAACTTTAATAGTTTCCTTTATTAGGCATCTGTTGGGTTGGTTGTACTGTACTGTAAAAGTCTGATTGTGATTGTGGGCAGAATTGTATATATGATGAATAATGTATAGGTGATACTGGTGATTTTGGGCATATGAGATATATACATATACTAGTATAAGAAAGTATAAATATAAATATATATACATATATATTTATGTGTGTGTGTAGGTAAAACAACTGGGTTTTTCTTTTCGTTTCAATATTTACTTTTTCGTTTTTTCTTTTCTTCATGTAAAAAACTTGTATTTCTTGATGAACAAAAACAAACAAATCGATTATTCAGTTATAATTTAAAAATAATCATATCAAACAGATAGATATAGTAATTCCTCGCTTATGGTGCTGGCTCCTGCATCTGGTAATATGGTGATCATCATCATCATCATCATTATTATCTTAACCTTAGCTTGGCAATCAGCTAAGTTCTGAGAAGGCTGCTACTGCTTAACAAGCTGTAACTATTCGTACTAGCACAATTGTTATTGTTGATTTGTATTGTAATTAGGATTAGATTTTAGAGAATAGGTCAAAGGTAATTAAGATATATTACATAGTGTACAAAACATACAAAAAGGTAAATAATTTTTGTTGAAATTTCTTAAACTTTCCGCTTACAATTTGAATTTCGATTTCAATTACAATTTTTACTTAATTGGGAATGGCTAATGTAAACTTTATACATAAAAACTAAAATATTCATTGCGTTTCATATATACAATCGAATTTGTAAAATACAAAGATTTGTTATATCATTAGCGTTAAGATATTAAACTGTCTTCCTATATATTGATTTTTGAAAGGGGCTGCAAGGGGAGAAACGATTGAGGGCTTTGACTATGTGGTATTTTGTTAGCATCTCCGTCATCATCGCCATCGACAGGGTAATAATTGTCATTATTAAAGGCTTATGTTGTTCGTTTTGTGCTTCTTGTTGTTAGATGTGTGTGTGTGTGTGTTTGCTAGTGTTTAGGTTGTTGATGCTGTTGCTGTTGTTGTTGTTGTTGTTGTTGTTGTGTGTTGGTATTGCTGCTCCATTTGCTAGTCACTAAATCATCTGTTTGTTTATTTATTGTTTTTGTTTTGTGTTTGTAGTTATTCATTGAATTTCAGCTTTTCAATGCGCCTTTATTACTGCGAAGTAAAAGAAACAAAATTTTGATTTAATTAGCTCAAGAATTAAATAAAATTGCCAAAGCTTGAGTGCCCCATGCCCAGCCCAGTCTTGTTCCTTAGTTTCCCATGCATAATCTTCATCATTATTTGTTTTTAACGGTGCCAGGATCGGACATGTCTAATATGTCGGAAATTTCTATTATACAAGGAGCTATTCAGCATGCGACAACGACTGTGGGGCCTGTTACAGTCGGTATTGAAAATGATGTGAGATGCTGAAACGGATGCTCGAGCTGTTCATACTCACATTGAAACGTATTTAAGGCTATCACAGTGTATCTTATACTCCATTGCAGTTGTTAGAGGTATATTTAATATCCTGCGTAACGTATCACGGATACGAGTTGTACTGGTCATATCAGTGGCAGTCCGGTTCCATACTGATAAGCTATCCTCCTGCATAGGTAAATGGGATTATTAAAAGTGTTCTTAAGCCTTAAATGAATACAATAGAATGCCTCAAATAGAAGCCTGAAAGCCAGCCAACCGCGTGTAATTGAAAAGAATATTCAGCGTTCGTTTTTTGTTTAATAATTTTTATTTTTCAATCAATGTTAGTAAATCATTTTGATGTCTGACCAATCAAAAAATTCAAAATGATAAAACAGAACAAATTGAATTTTTTGTTTTAGTTGTTTCTTAACACAAAAGGCGAAACAATTGAAATCTTAATTTAAAAATTGTATTTTCTGCTTTTTTTTTTTTGGTTTTTATTTATTTTGTATTTTTGTTTTATTTTGGGTTTGGTTATCGCACTTGAAATTGTTTGTTGACTCGTTTCTCGTTTTCTCCTTTTTTTTTTTTTGTTTGTTTTCATTTTTTTATATAATTATGTATGTATATAAGACTAACACTTAATTGTAATCGTTTTTTTTAATTAGATTTTTTTTATTACTTTTAATAATTAACTAAATTGTCTAACGAGGAGAAAATATAATAGATGTAAGTATGTTCGTTAATATGAAGTTTTACACGGTTCTTTTTGTTTTATTTAAATATATATGTATATTCATATATATTTGTTGTAGAATGTGTTATAGTATAGTTAAACATTTTTAACAATTATCGAGTATTTGCTCAAAGACTTTGAGTAGAACCGTTTTTTTTTTCTTTTTTGTTTTTTTTGCTGTTATAATTGTTTATAATAAGTACAGTTTAAAGTTTCTTTTTAAGTTTTGATTTAATGTTTAGGTTTGTGTAACTCTATGTGTGTGTATGTGGGCGTGTGTGTAAGTCTGTACGTGTGTGCCATATATATATATGTTAATATTGTTTAATTTGTTGTAAACTTTACGGTGTGTGCACGGAAACTACATGATTTTCTTTCGCTTTTACTGAGTCTTGACGCTACTCAGATGTATATATATATATGTATATATAGGATTGTATATTATGTGTATGTGTCTTTATATATATACACACATATATATATAAATCTCCTGGCGTATGTTTGTTTCTATTTTTCGTTTTGTTTCAAACGCATTTCAATTGCACATTTTCGTTCTTGTTGTTGTTTTCTTTTTAAATTTATTTTTAATATTTTGTAAATATTAAACACTTGCATAGCAATTACATCAACGCTCGATTCGCTAATTAATTTATTTGGACTAAATATAGTTATACATATATAATATATAAGGTATATGTTGTAACTTCAATTAAAATATATATAAATATTCATTTATGCTCATGTTAATCATGTTTTAATCATTTGTTGTCCTTTGTTTTTTTACTGCGTTCCACTTTGTTCATTTTTTGTTCAGTATTATTGCTTTTGAATACACATACATACGTATATACACACACATATACATACATATACATATCCTTCATATGCATATGCATATACAATTTCATCTTATTTCGTTTATATCGTATGTATGTGTGCGTGTGCTTGTGCCTGTTCTCGGTGGGCGTGGCTTTTTTTTAATAATCCTCCCATCAGGTGTCGCCCGAGAAGCAGGTGCTCAAGTTTCATTCACATATATTAAGTGCTAAGTTTTTCATTCAAGTTTCCCATTTATTGCGGCAGCATTCATTCAATTCTGCTTTCCTCTTCTCGTTCAACTTGTATATATCATTTGTGATTTAATTTTTTTTTAAATTTATAATTTGTATTTGCTCTCTTCGAGTTCTCTTGCCGTTTTCATTACTGATTGCTGTTTGAGTGTGCTTGAAATGCTTCGATATGCCTGGAATTATTGTTGGAGTAACTGTTCCCAATGCGTACTCGCATCATGTATGGGGCGAACACATCGTCATGATCACTATCAAAAAACTCGCATCATCGATCAATGCAACAATTGCAGCAAACCCAGTTGCAGCCAGCCATAGAGGCCATAAGCTGCGACTCATCTCCCACCTGGAGACGTGTCGAGCGGTTTGATTTGCTTTTGCTTTGCTCTTTGTTTTAACTCTATTGTTTAACTGGGCATTCTCTCTAGAGAATTTTCTTTGAATTTTATTCAATTTTAAAGTACACAATTTCTTTTACGAGTCTGAAACAAATTGTTTCGTCTTCTTTTCTTTTTTTTTTTTATTTATTTATTTTTTTGAAACTCACTTTCTATGCTTTTAAATACATCATATAATCGTATTTAGCTCCTTTTTAAATTTTTATTTTTATATTTACGGCATATAAATATCGAAATTATGTAACTATTTAATTATATTAAAATTCTAATTTGTATTAATTGAACTTCTGCGCTTAAATTGTTTGTTAGTTTCTTTTTTTTTTTCTTTTTGTATTTTAATGTTAAGTATTTTTCGATTGTTGCTTTTGTACAAATAACTTGCTGGTCCAAAAAAAAAAAAAAAACTATTTTGAGAAAAACAAACAAAAATGGTATAAATAAAACAAAAACATTAACTAAAATATATTTCTGTATATTTTTTTTCTTTTGTTTTTATTGCAATTTGAATCTTAAGCTAAGCATCGTTTTTAATATTAACAATATAAATACGAGAAACTAATAAAAACTAATATTTAGATCGAGTTTGCTTTTTTTGGGCTCACCATAGTTTTGAGCGTGGCTAAAGAAGAAGAAAAACAAAGTCAAACAAATTGAAATAATTTTATTTGTTAACTGAACATTTCTCTTTGCTCTTCTTTTTTCTCCCTTTCATATTTTGCTTAAATATTTTGCTTTATTTATTTATTTTTATTTATTTTTTTGTTTCGTTTTGTGATAGCGGAAGAAATGCGATTTACGTAGAAAACTAAAATATTTATATATGTAATAGCCATTAACAGTATAAGTACATACATATATTATAGCATTAAATATAATATATATGTATATATTAAATAATTTGTTAATATTCATTAATAATGTACAAAAGTAGTTGTTTTTGGTTGAGAGGAGAGAGAAAATGTGCATTGGGAAATTGTTTATCAACAAGGCTATTAAAGCTTATAGTTGTACAGCTGAATCAATCGATAGATTCAATCAATTAATCAATCAATCAATGTCTAGAGCGGATTGCACACCGATCTTATAGAATATACACACACACAATAATATAATAATAACTAAATGAAAGACAATTGCAAATATTTCTAAGGACAAATTTGACGCCAAATTTAGCTCACGCTTAATAATTTGTTATTCCGTTTCCATATTAGTTATCATTATTTCGATTTCAATCTCAATTTCAACTTCAACTTCAATTTCGCTTTCAATTTGAATTTATAGCTAATTGCCTATATTTTGCACAACATTTACATTTTGTTAATCGCAAGCTAAATATGAAAAATTTACAATTCTAGTTACGGTTTTCGACGAGTTCAGTTTATATTGTTTATAATTAATTCATTTTTCTATTTGCATTTAATTTGTTTGTTTGTATTTGTTAGTTTTGTATGTATAATGTACGTATTATATATTATTATTAAATTGTAATTCAAAAATCTACTTAATAAAATTTTGTTTGCTATTTGTTTTTGTTTTCTATCTGTTGTGGGTTAACATTTTGTTTAAAGTTGTTTCTTTTACTAACTGTATATGTATATATGTATATTGGTTTTTATATATGTATAACATCACATTATAATAATTACTAATTAATAGTTTTAATTTTTTGTTTGTTTTGTTTGTTTTGTTGTTGTGTATGCTCTATGTTTTATGTTTTTTATAAATGTAGTTAATGCACAAATACTAATGTTCATAATAAAGATTATTGTTTATTAAATTTCATTTGTTAACAAAAATTTTGTTGCTGTTGCTGCTGCTGCGCTGCTGCTGTTTTAGTGTTTGTTGTTATTGTTACACAGAATTTATATAATAATTATAATGACTATTTACAAGTAGCAAAATGATGAAATAAATAAACAAATAGCTGGTGACAAATTCACATCAAAATGATAGAGAAACAGGCAAATAATTAGTTCCTGAGAGCACCGTGCAGCACCTTGCAGGGAAACACGTGCGCGACCTATTTATAGAGGGGGGCGCCGCGACAGCTCCTCAACTTGCCCCCTTCTAAAAAAGTCAATTACCCGTACTGCTTCCTCTGCTTGCTCACATTTCTAAATAGCCAACTAAGGCGACTCTGACTGTCTGTTGGCCAAACATTTTCCAACTGCTGTGCTTCCATTTTCAGAAAATAAACTTGGTTAAATTTAATTTTCCAGCTGGAGGCGTGTAGTCGATGCTGATTGCAGGCAGTGTTGGAGATGAGGCGGCTGGGCTGAGCGAGGCTTGGGCTTGGGCTTGGGCTGGTGTGAGGTTGGGCTGTGGGCCCATTAATTTACCCAGCTATGCGCATCGCACGCGCTAATTAGTGAACAGGCACTCGTTGTGTGAAGCTGGTGCTGGTGCCGCAAGCCGGTACTAGTGTTACCTCTGCATACCTCCTGCATCTTGGCACCTGGTGGCGCTACGTGACCGATGTCTCTCATCCGCTCGCATTGTACTTGTTGTTGGATCGCCCATTAGCTTGGTCTTCATCTGCAAGCGAAATATGAATAAAACGAATGAGTTGAATTTACAATTGGTAGCCAAAGTTTTGCCTGTTTTGCCAGTGGAGCATATCTCGTGACCCCGCGCTACATCCGGCTGACGTAAGCTGCACGACTCCTAGCCAGCCGTATGGTCAGCCACACAACTAACTGCAGGCCATAAAACGTAGCTAACACGTTCTGCCATGGCGAGCGCCTCAAAGCAGGCAATACGACAAACGAGCTGCGGAAACGGAATTATCAATGTGGCCATGTCTGTGACAACGTGTATGCACGCCTCACATAGGTCAAGCAACAGGATATCACACTATGGTCGTCCCTCTCGCTCTCTCATTATCTGCTTGCCGTTGCTCACGCTCTCACTGTCTGCCACCTACTCTCTTGTGTGCTCGCTCTTGCTCTCACGCTCTCAGCCTCAATCTCTCAATGTATCTGCATTCCCATACAGACGCGTATGTATGGATGTTTGTGTGGGCATGTGTGTGCGTGGGTATGGTTGTGCAAGCGCATGTCGGTGTAAGTGTGTGCGTACGCGTGTGCGTGTCCGTGTAGGCATGTGGTGACAACAACCAATGGAATTGTCAAGAGTGACATGCCGGTCAGCAACGTCAGCGTTCGCACAGCCACATTAACCAGACAAAGGCAATGCATTCAGAAGCTCATTAATCGCTATCAACAGTGTAATTAAAATTTAATATTTACAAATAATTTTGCTACCTTCTTAAGGATAAGAGCACGCTGAATAGGTTGAGAAAATGAATAAACTTTGAAAGAAAGTTTTGAGCTCATCAAGTCCTACTCTTGTGTTTCCATTTTTTTCCGTAATAAATGCGATAGGCTTTAACTTTGATATTCTGTTTAAGTCATGTTGATGACCTTCAAGCTATTTTTAATGGGTTTGCATTATGCAATGATTATCTCATAGTTCTCCATGGTTTCTTTCCTGCTTGTGCCTTGCTCAAGTGGTGCTTATAGCGGCTTATGAATATATATGTGCATATATATAGACGTCAACTTGTTGTTTTGCGCGTGTTAGAATTTTCATCAATGGCTTTGGCGAATTTTCTATTTATTTAATTTGGCGGCGTCGCCGAGACAACTCGAAGATGACATCAGCTGTTGCTATGCGCGTTATGTGCGTCATCCGACGAAGTTGGCGACGCCGACAATATCAATTTGGTATTTAGTTGAAATTCCAAAGGCATAAGGGCCACACACCCATACACACAAAGAGAAGGCGTTTGAATTGAATTGCATTGCATTTGGTGTTCAAAGTAAATTACATAACATGGACTTTAAAGGGATTCAGTAAGCAAAGCTCTGGCATGTAATATCCAATAACGACATTTAGTTGTTGCGGAATGTAAACAAGTGTTTAGCTTTGTCGTAGGCCATTATAAGGCTTGTGGGACCAGCACTATGGTTAACCATCGATAGATACACATCTATCGATAGTTAGCCATGTCGATAGCTAAGGAGGTCGATACTTGGCGTGCCATAATGAGTAATGACAAATGAAGAGAAAGATCGGAAGAGCTGAGTAAAAACAGAAAGTGTTTAGATTTTAAGAGCTAAGACTTGTGGCAAAAATAAACAAGAAACAAAGTTATGAAATAAAAGCCGTCTACAACTTTTAAATCTATTGCTATTTAGAAATATTTTGAGAGGCAACACAATATCTTTATTTAAGCAACTATTCAATTAAATATTCCTACAAATTCATATAATTTTTAACGAAGGGACATTGCATATGTATATATACATTGATCAATCAGTCAATTATCACGTTTTCATTTACATATTTTGCACATGCCACAGCTCACGTAAGCCAAATAAATATTTGCATCAATGCAGTTGCAGCACGCGCCAAAAAGTGCGCTACATGAATTTGTCATTGGACATTAAAAGGAGTTCGTTCGATATGCGAATATTTGATTTACATTTACTACATATAAACGTTGAGCATATATATATATATTTGTGTATGTGTGGGTGCCCCGCTATTGAATGTTATCATCCATCATTGCGTACATTGGAAATTCCGCCCCCAATTAGTCGATTGGCAGGCAAATCGCTTTCAGCTATTTTTATTGCCAGCGCCGTAATAAGTTAATTTATAAAAATAACATAAAAGCCCGCATTAAATAAATGTGCAGCAAAAATAAACCATAGAGGATGAAACGCCCTTTACAATAAATACAATTCATAAAACTGTAGAATGATGAAATTTCATTTCTACGAACAGTGAATATGAAAAAAGGGACCATGTAAATAAAAAATTAATTCGAATTGCGTAAGGTCGTGACCTTTCAAAGGTTTTTATTTCGTAGAATGGTTTATATGCTGTAAACTATTTCCACGAACTCCAAATAGCAGAAAACGAAAAACATTGCTTTAATTGAAATTAAATTCAATAAAAATATAAAAAATGTATTTTATTAGCTCAGTTTTTGTAAAGTTGGGCAGCAAGTCAATAGAGTCCAGGCAATGTCATCTTGGTGTATTCAAGATTAGCCAAGATAGACTGCGAAGGCAGCATGAAGGAGGACGGCAATGGGCGACGAGGCATTGACGGACGCTGGCTTTGACATGACAGTTTAATTGAGGGGCAGATTTAGTTTTATTTTTCTTCGTTGGCTGGCGAGAGCAGCTGCTGTGGCTCACCGCCAGGTCCATGTCAAAGGAACCGGATGCGAAAGAGTGCGAGCGAGAGCGACAGTGCGCAAAATATGCAAATTAGTTTGATTCGCCGCGGAGATTGGCCATATTAGACTGCGGAATGGGAGCGGATGGCGGGTGGCGAGAGGATGCTGAGTGGGGTGGCTTAAGGGAGGGGCACATGGCACTCTTGGGAAAGCTGTTGACTAAATTTAATATTTATGACTTTGGTTTTGGCCAGCAGCAGCACAAGTGGCACTTGGCCGCCTTTCCTAGGCTTAAGAAACAGGCTCGATTTGCTTTAATGGTTTAATTTCTTCAGACTGTGTGCAAACACAATGGGGCTCACTCTAGCTCTAGCTGGAAACAAAGGCTGACAAATGCAAAGAGGTCCAGACATACTAACAGTTGCCTTCTGATTGATCTGGGCATGGGCGATTGAGAGGCTTCGATTGAGCTGTATTGAAACAGGTGAATAAACACCCCAAGCGTACGACCCCAATACAATTGCCGTCAAAGCTCCTTTGCGTAGGCAGCTTTCAGCTGGTCAGTTGTTCGGCGCGTGTTGAGGATTTGCGGTTGAGCTCAGAGAGCTGCCGTGCGGTTGCTCTCTCTGGTATATATGTCTGGGTGTGTGGGTGTGTGTCTGTGTGCGTGCATCTCGGGCTGCATTCGTATGCATGCAGCCGATATAACTCAATTAGAGTATGGGACTATAACGACCGCACTCAAATACTCAACCTTTCAAGCACACACACACACACACACACACACTGATACAGATGCATACAAAGAGATATACATATTCGATATATAAGTGGCGCGTGCGGAAATCAAGGACACAGCTCGATTGCAAATTGTGCCTGATGGACAATGCAGACCGCAACGTATTTTATGACAGTGCATACAGCCCCAATACACACACACACACACACACACACACGAGTGCACGCATACATGTGAATGTCAATAGACCTACGTATTCGTGTGTCCTGCTAGTATTAAAATATGCAAATTGACGATTGTCTGCAGGATAACAGACAAAAGGGAATGTCACACACAGACACATGCAAAACCCGCAGTTCGATTGCTTGTATGTATGTGTGCATCTCTGTGTGTGTGTATTACTGCATTGCTGATGCGTTACTTCAATGTCAAAATTATCAGTGTCAGCTTTTCGTAAAGTGCAATTAAAAGCAGCAGCTGCAAGTCTTTGCATAATCTGTCAAGGACACATTGATAATGAATCGCAGTGGCTCGCCTTATCGCAGCGCTGAAGAATCTCTAAGCACTGCACAAGTAACTTGCAGCAGAGTTCCAGCTGAAAATGTTGCCAAGTGCACATCTAATCCTTGGACCACGCATGTGGAAACTACCAGCAAAGTGACAGTCAAACTAAATCGCTGAGCACTGATGCTGATAAGAGCAGCAGCAGCAGCAGCAGCAGCAGCAGCAGCAGCAGCAGCAGCAGCAATACAAAATACTAAACATGACAACAATAGTTGCGTAGGATACCCCACACAGACGACTTTGCTCTAGGTTATTTCTATGTCCCCAAGCTCACACGTAAGCCAATTTTAACGGTTTAACTTTATGCTTGGGGTTTGGCTGGGCGTGCCACCCACACGCACAACATATGCGTGTTTGTGTGTGTGTGTGTGTATGTGTATCTTTAGCGTGGTCTCTGTTTGTTTACAATGCTTTTATGTTTGCTCAAATGGCGTCCGCTCCTTGGACCGGCCATGTGTCGACGCCTCAATTCCACCCACATTCCGCACCCATACACACACGCACGCGCACCCATAAGGAATGTGGCATATTCAAGTGCTCCGTTTGGTATACCCTTTCAAGCAAACATTGTAAAAGCGACTTTATTGCTTTGTAACTAAGGCTGTTCAGCATATCTGAAATTCTATGTGTATTTCGCTTTTGTATCCCTTTCATATTTATAGCATATGCCTATGATAGCTAATTTTAGCGATATATAGAGGAATTCCTATTTGAATGCACAAAACTCCGTCCGGCTGTGCCAGACTACGTGAAACTCGGACTTGAGCGAAGTATGTTACTCTACCTTTCAAGTCAACCAACTGGTTACCAAATAATCCAATTATAAAACTTTCGCCTATGCCGTAATAAATTTGACTGTGACTTTGACTATGACACACAATGAGAGTTTTCTGTAATTAATTCGTTTGTATTCAAGATGTTTAAATGTTGTAAATACTTTAGTTCACAGAAGCTCAATAAACATTTACTTTAGGAGAAAAGGTTATTCCAACTAATAACTAGATTTCTGTATTTAACAAGAGCTTTACAACTACTACTGGGTGCCATAATGTCGACCACAATTCTCAGTATTTGTTCATACACAAATACAAGGGAATTTTGTTGTGTGTGTATACGTTTTCTGGTAGCTGTGACTTATTGTTATGCTGCCACAGCGCTCAATTTATGAGTCGAGGTCGAGGAGCAGTGCCTCATGCCCATGCAAACTCCAGCTGCTCCGCCCTCCAGCCAGCACACAGTGGGGCTTAAAAAATAGACACAGGCAAGGCAAGCTGGCTCCGGGTGGCCATGAGGGGAGGACGGAGGCAAAATGGGATAGGAATAGGGACAGAGAAAGAGAGAGAGAGAGAGCGAGAGAGACTGGGATAGAAGTGGGCAAATGGTCCTTGTAAAATGGAATGCGAAGCATAAATACATTGGCTCTTAGTCTCTGGAGCACTCTCAACTCTGGGATTAAACTGTGAGCATCTTAGCTGGGCTATAGTTAGGACTTTGACTGCCTGTTGAAGGAATGGCTCGTGGCACTGACTTCGTCAAGGCGTGAGCATCGCCCCTCTCGCCAGCACTCTGGCCACACTTTCATTAAAAGTTCGCAACTTAAGCGATTTGCTTTAAGCCGCCTGCTCAGCCGGCCGGAGTGGGCTTCAATATTAAATCAATTTCGTTTACGCTCTTTTAAATTGCCTTTCAAGCCTTGCCAGAGTGCCACAGTGGGTAAGTAGCAAGCGTCTGTGCGTGGCAGTCGATGTTTATGCAAAAATGTTGCATAAATTATAAAAAGGAGCGACGAACAAAAACTGTGCTGCATACTCTTTGAATTTTAAGTATGCAATACATATACATACATATATACAGATTGTGTATGGGTGTGCGTGTGTGACGTCTGGTGACAAAAAAACACAACACAATAACAACAACAACAACAGCTTAAGCTCGCTGCTTGCTAATTTATTGGCTGCCGACGATACCCTCTGACTGTTACCTGTTCCATTCTGCCTCCGCAGCAGTCGAGCTGCTCCACTCGCTATTGAGTAGCTTCATTTCTTTAAATTTCATTTCAAAATTTGGCACGTCTCTGCATACGCTTATCCTACCCCACACACATACACCCAGCTCACGCACACACAGAGAGAGAACGACATTTTGTTTTCTTTACCGAGCGGTTGTCATGTGCGTGAGAAATGCAAGTTTCCGATAAAAATAAAGGCAAAAGAAAAGCTCATAATGGCGCCCAGGAAGGCAACGCAATATATAGGCTAATAGCTATAAAACAAACATTAGGGACAACAAAAGAAAAAGCTAATTTCCGTGTGGATAAGCTCAAATGAAAGCCACTTCGTACTTGAAGCAGCTGAAGTAGTAAACGCAGCAAATGCTGTACAAGTTGTTTATACTGCATCGAATTCCCAAGTAAACTTAATCCAAGGCAAGTCTAATAACACATGCTGTATATACACCTTGGTGCTAGGCTTTTACAGGGTATGCATGCGAAAATTATCAAAAGCAAAGCTACTTTTTCTTCGTTATTTCTGTTCAGAGGCAAACCCGAGTTCAAATGCCATCAACTGGCAACTTTCATTATGCGCGGCTGATAAGTCGAGTTTCGTTGAGCCAAGGCCAATAGACAATGGAAGGCAAGAGGACGTGACGCCATTTGAAGTGGAGAAACAACAGGCGCACGGATCGTAAATCATAAAATAGAAATGCTGTAGCCAGAGAGAGAGAGAGAGAAAGAGAGAGAGAGAGAGTGAGAGAGAGAGAGAGAGAGAAAGAGCGCAGCTATGCAGAGTACGCACGAATTATTAAGTATACGCCATAGGTACGACTGAAAACAGCCAATTGAGATTTCTGAAGCACCTTTTGGCAGGCAGGCAAGCAGGTAGGTAAAGCTGCATATATGTATGTATATATCGTATACATACTTACAGACATATACATACATATATTACAGCACAGCTTCAGCTATACAACCACAAATCTTTGACTGTCAGCATTTAATTAAATCGAATGCATACGTTTGACAATTGAATGTGGTTGCCATCGATTGAGTGTGTGTGTGTGTGTGTGTGTGTGTGGTTAAGTGCCTGCACTAAACTAAATAGAGTTAGAATAACTCCATACACGTTTATTGCAGGCTTGTATGACAACCGAATGTGTTAACATTTGCCAAATTGAATTAAATCGTTTGTGGCCTATGCATTTAGCATAACTCATAGCTCCTTTCAGAAATGCCAGCGTCTAGCTGCAAAAAGTCCTGGCTTGCAGCTGAATAGTCGCCACAGATTGTGGCTGCTATTACAGGCGAATGCAATGCTCTAAATGAAGCAGTTTAATTAACGTAATGAGAGCACGAGTTGTTCGCTCTCTTGGAAGGTATGCAATTGCCCCCAATTAGTTTTACTCGTCACATAATCGGGTAGCTGAAACAAAAGACAGAGCTGCAACTTTAAAGTCTTCTCTATATTTAAATAAATTCATATCGTTCATGCAGAAGTTTTTTCTATGTAAAATTTCCTTAGCTTTGCAAATTGCTCACAATTTTTCTTTATAATTTGAAATCCCGTTTGACGCACAAATCCACTGGGAATGCGAATGTATTCATTAGGCGCATCATGAACTTTGGCCCACATTTAATCGCTCTATGTGCATAAAGTAAACAGAAATATGTACA